TAGAGCTCAGTGCCGTTAGTTTTGTTGGACTCCAAAATATAAGTGCTTTTGTATTAATTAGTCAATTTGTAATTTTCATATAATTAAAAATTCTACATCTATTATGGGGACGATTAGAAATTTGGTCATTCTTATATATATTCTCTTATGTACTACAAGCAAGATTCATTCTCTTCTTTTTCTCTATAGATTCAGAGTGTTTTTATTCTTTATACTTTGAGACAGTGATCTCTTTATGTCTCCTGTTATCCGCTACGTCATTGTTAGAGAGGACTTTTTTTTTTTTTTAAACGAGAATCAATTCAATTGCGTATCTTTTTTAAATGTAAATAGGAATTTGTACATGTTAAATTTCATATAATAAATGAGGCTTGGTTAGAGATTGTTGAGAAATAGACTTATGTTTAAACAAGAAAGGACGAAAATAGCTTTTGCCAAAGTTTTTCAGAATAACCCTGTTGGAATCATTCCCATGAACGTAGAGTCAAAAGTATACCACTATATGTATAATCCCATAAGCTTAAATAATATCTTCACACATCAAATTCATCTCAATTTAATCCCATCAAAAACAAGAACTATACAAATAACCAACTTTTCGACAAAACTACTAATCAAGGGATATCATAAAATTAAGAATCAGAATAATTTCATTGAACTCTATCTCCAAAAAGTTTCAGGCCAATGATTTTTCTCTATCTGTATTGTCCTGCCAAGAAACTATTAAAACTCTAATAACCTACCACTGAAACTATCAATATAAATATGAGAATAGGTAATTGATTTATATTGCAGATTAAATATTCTCACTTGTTTCATGATTGACACAAGTGATTGAACTTCGAATAGATAATTGACACAAGTAGTGTTAATTGAGTTGACTTTTGTGAATTTGAATTTGAATTTGTTAAACTCGTTTTTCTAAACGAGCTTGAAAAATTGTTCAACTTCGATTTTTTTAAAATTCAAGCCGAGTCCGAGCCTGAACCAAATTCGAGCCGAACCCGAATAACTTGTCTATTTTATATATAAACGAGTGAATAGGAGTGTTAATCGTGAAACAAGTTTTAGGCAGTACACGAGTTAAACATTCTCGCTAGTTTTAGGATTGACACAAGTGATTGAACTTTCAATAGATACCTCGCACAAGTGAACATGAGTGTTAATCGAACTGAGATTTGTGAGCTTGAGCTCAAGCCTCCTCATCTCATTTTTTTAAACGAGTTTAAAAAATTGTTCAAAATTGGTTTGTCGAGCTCAAACAAGGGCCGAACCCGAGTAACTCTTTTATTTTATATATAAATGCGTCGAGTTTTGCGAGGTTAAACTGAGGTTTTAAGGCTCATATTTTTAAACAAGTTTAAAAAATTGTTCAAACTTAACTCGTTTAAAACACGTGTTGAGTTCGAGCTGAGTTTTCTTTGAGCCGAGTCCGAATAATTCGTCTAAATTAACACCTCTATTGACCAAGAAGAACACAATGTCAATTATTTTAACTCATCTATTCTATCTCATATCTAAAAACTAAATTCAACTGCATACAAGAAAATGGATATAACAACATAAAATATCATTATAACCTAATCTCCTTACCTTGTTACTCTTAGAAAGTGCTAAGCAACCCATCACATTCCAGATCCAATATGATCACAGATGTTTAGCTCTTCTGTGTATTTATAGATGTTTACCTCACCTTTTCTTCGACGTTTAGTATCATTTTTGACAGGAGCACTAGTTCAAAAATAAATAATTAACAAGTTTTTGTGTCAATCTTGAAACAAGTGAGAATAGGAAAAGGATAGATAACTGATATATATTACAGATTATATATTGTTGTTAACTGTGGATGAACAATCTGAGAATATGAAAGATCAATGATTGAAATTCTAATTCTAAAACTTGGAATATGTACTGCTTAAAACTTGTCAGTTACATCCATAAGTGTAAGATAAAATAGGCATAATTTCAAAAACTAGTTAATGCACACGTGCGTTGCACGTGAACCGTTTGAATTTATGTACTATCTATTATTATTGTAAATACTTTGTCAGTATTCAAATTTGAGTAAATAAGTGGTAGTGAACAATATGTATTTTAAACCCAATTTTGAGCACATTCATAGTTTTACAAAAAATCTTTATATTCAAGCTAAGAGTGTCAAACGTGTTGGATTAAAAGGGTACGTGTCAGGTTAAACGAGTGACGAGTAAAAAATATGTAAACCTGTGCACGACACGTTTAATAAACGGGTGAAAAATCTCAACACGAACACGACCCGTTTAATAAACAGGTAACACAACACGACTCGTTTAACCCGTTTAATTTAAAAAAATATATATTAGCAAATTTTAATACTTCACTTTTCTTATTCCACATTTTTTACTATAAACTGTACTTACCTCAAAAAAGAGGAATTTCTAGTCAAATCTTACATAAAAATTAAACTTGAATGCTAAAAAAAAAAAGAGCAAGAAGCACTGCCTTTTATAGGCAAGTTACGTCAGTCCTCCCCATCTCTCCTCATTTGCTAATGTGGGATAAAAATAAAAGGCATTGATTTGTCTTTGTCTTGAACTGCTCCTCATCTCTCCTCTTTTGTCTTTGAACTACTGCGTTATTTTTATTTTATTTTTTTTGTATTGATTTCTTTACTTTTTTTTTTCTGGCTAATTTTTTTAAATAATTATTAATTTTATTTAAATAGGTAAACATGTGATAAACGGTTTGACAAGTCTCATCCAAACACGACCCGTTTATTAAACGTGTTTGGCGGGTCAACTCATTTACCATCTAAACCCGTTAAGACTCACCCAAACCCGTTTAATTCGTGTCAATTTATGTCAGTTAATCGTGTCATGTCAAATTTTGATCGGCTTAATTAAAAACAGCTTAAGTAATATAATGCTTTTGAAAAGAGATTAAAAATCTAAACCAAGATAATTTAAAAATAATTGTACATAATAATTATTAAGAGTCTTAAAGCAACTCATGCTTGGAAGAGTTGAATTCACATTTAAAAATTATCACTTAGTGATACATAAATGTCTAATATAAGCAACGCAAAAAAGAAAACTACAATAATTAATAATTATTTTTTTATATTTTGTGTTTGCAGATAAACAACAAAAAAACTAATTCGTCACCTTGTGGAACAATTGTAATGGGTGAGGTTTTTCTTGCAATTAAAAAAAGGCTAACTTCCTTCTCAAGGCTCACACTTTCCTCTCAATTATTTCATGTCACAATTTTTTGTCAGTCATTGTGTCTCCGGTCCTTAGATACAGAGACTTTCCAAAAACAAAGCATAACTTTGTTAGTATGCTTGTTGCCAATACGAACCAAACACAATGTGTATAAGGAAAATTAGCACGCATCAAAACCCCCATCTAAGAGCTTTTTGTCCCAGTGATTGGGTACTTGAGCTTCCTTGATTTCAATTTGTCCATGACTTGAATTTCAACAATAAGAAAATCATGTAAATTTCATCTATATTGCACAATCAACCGTAACACACATAAAGACACAATTATAACTTTCTGACATGAAAAAAAGGAAATAAATGAGAATAACATAATGTAAAATCTATACTACCAGTATGTAGCAAGAAAATGAATGTCTCTCTCTCTCTCTCTCTCTCTCTCTCTCTCTCTTGTCAATTAATATAACACAAGTGACTAAGATAAATAGTTCATTTTCTGAATAGCATTAGCTCTCCTAGATACAGATTATCAACTGAAAATATAACAAATAAAAAAAATCCAAATTTTGCTTTGTTTTTAAATTGAAAAAGAAATGGAATACTCAGAAAGTGTCCTGCACCCTTGGAATCAAATCTACAGAAATGAGATATGGCCAACGACAGTAGATCTGTATCAAATAAAATCAGACTTTAAAAAAGAAGCAAATCTAGATAATGACAAAAAAAATATAGTATACAACTACAGTAAGTAGCAAAGGGCAAAATTGCATGTTTATTGGTTCCTTTTCTAAATTGCCAAGAAGAAAGTCAGAATATTTGATGTTATTGTTTGAGGAATAGCTCATTTATAACATAATTACACAAAGCCAACCAAATTAATACTAAGGTTACATGAACATTTTCACTTCACTCCAAATAATTTAATTCCATTCTTAGGTAGTGTTTGGAATGACTTATTGAATTCAAAAGTACTTCTTGAATAATTACTTTTTAAAAAACACTTTATTAAAAAATATTTTCTTCCATAAACATTGTTTGGATGCTCATTAAAAAAAGTACTTAAATAAAAATAATTTTACAAAAATTGTGTTTGGATGGTCAATTAAAAAAGTATTTATTTGTATCACAATTACAAATATGCCCTTCATACTCAAATATATATATATATATATATATGTGTGTGTGTGTTTGTGTGTGTATTTTGTTAAAACCTTCAATGGTTATCTCATGATACATTTTTAGTGATAATTTATCAAATATTTATATAAATTCACAAAAATAAAAAGGTAACCATGGGATATCAGTGATCTAAAGACATGATGAACCCAAGTGCAAGCTTGGAGTTCACCACTATGAATTTTTTCATCACCCATGTGTAAACTTCTACTCTTTGATGCAAATATTTTTTTTTTCAAACAAATCAACACTTTATTTTATTACTCAAAAATTATTTACAATGGAATAAAAGGCAGACATACCATGCCTTAACAAAACTTTAACCCAAAATGAATAAAAGAAGCCAAAAGACTTTACAAAAGAATAAAAAAATAAGTCCTTCATAATAGGTAACTTGCTCAACTTGTGTTAAAGAGACAAATCAATGAACATGACATTCAAAAACAAACAACACAAGACGTTAACGAGAATAGCCAATAAACATGAAACACATATGTCGACGAACAAAATAAATTCAAGAAAAACAATAATAACATTAAATTCATTTGCCCTGCTGAATAGAGGGGCAAACATTGTCAATTTTTATGAAGTTCCTGGAGAATAGAGGGGCAAACATTGGATGTGATTAAGCAGCAGACTCCTTGGCAATCTTCTCCGCCTTGGCAATGACCTTTTCAATGCCACCAACCATGTAAAATGACCGCTTTTGTGATGCAAATTCTGTAAGAATCTCATCAAACTCATAGGTATTAGAATCACAGTTGTTTCTTTGAAGTTTTAACCTTTTGAGTTGAAATAAAGTCAGGAATTAAAGAAAAACATAAATTACAACACTCTGATAAAACAGCAGCTAGCAGGCATATAAAAATAATGTCCTTTTGATATTCCAAATAGACTCTGCTACATAAGAATGCCATGAAGAATATCTCTGGCTGCAACTCTACGCAATCAGCGAAATCAGCATCAGCGACCAACTCTTCTGCATTTCGAGGTCGTAATCTCACCGCAACTTGAACTCTCCCAAGAACTATATGCAAGTATAGGCACATTGAAGAAAGCACATTTTGAGATTCACAATAATGACCTAAATCCAAAACAAAGATAGAAAAGAAAATAGTAATTCTTTATTTTGCAAAAAATAAGTTGCAGACCACACTTAAAAGCATACTCTAATAAAATGTAGGGGGTCTCTGGATGCTCAATATTAATATATAATATCCCTCCCTTCCTTAACAAAACAAAATTTTGATTATTAGAGAAATAGAAATCAAAATTCTAGCAACATTTTCATGCATCGAACTTGGACATTCCAATTTCACATTAGTACTCACCAAGGGGTTTACACGTTTGTCTACTCAGTCAAATCAGGAACTTTAAATATTCAGCTAAGACAAGACACAACTAGTAGGTCTTAAAGATCAAAGTCTAGAAGGAGCACAAATGGTAACACTTGTGATGCTTCTCTTCACCTTTGAAAGATAATCATAACTCACCAAAATTATGCAGCCTTATTCACCATACAGACAAAGTATATAACATCACCAAAAGAGCCCCCCTAAGAACAAAAAAGGGTACTGCATTGTCATTGTCAAAGCATCAGGGCATCAGGCTCTTAAATAAGAATGGAGGTTTCCCTCAAAACTCCTCTTACTCTGCTTAAGATATTCAAATCCAAGAGTGACAAAACCTATTTGGTAGATAACAAGTCAAAAGCAAAGAGTGAACAGATATTGACATTTATGCTGAGAAAATCTTTCCCTTACTAGCAATTTTGTAAATGCACAAACCTAAGTACCAAAATGATCTTCATCATAGAAAAGCAAATTTCATAGATTAAGCAATATACTATACAGAGCATAGGGTTGGGAATACTTACCATGATAGGTCATAATCAGATTAATCAAGCAGACCATGTAAAAAATGATAGATACAAACCTGACAACACATAGACTGCCAATCCCGATGGATACTTGATGTATACATATAATAGCGTAGAAAAGTATATAACATCATCAAAAAGATTAGTATATAATAGCGTAGAAACGATTTCCAGAAGATGGATAGAGCAACACATTGCATTGTGACAGACAAATGATATATTGGGAGCACATTTTATCAAACACCTTACATGCATATTGATTCATAGATAATTCTTGAAAAAACCATTCATTCAATAATCACCTATCATAGTTTATTTGCATATCAGATTGTAATTCCAACCACTTAACCAATATTAGGAGGCTCACTGTCAAATTCAAAGAGCTTATGCACATATTTGTTACTACTGTCAATAACAATTCCATTTCATTGGCTGGAATCAAGAGCGCACCAAAAACTTACAAATACCTCAAAACAGCACAAATCAACTGCCTTGCTTTGATAGAATGTGATCCTCCTTTACTTTGATGATTTGATCGTTGAAGCAAAAAGAAAATCTGAAACCAAACATCATATTTCATTAACGATTGGTGAGAGAGAGAGGGAAGCTCCAACATCGTTAATGGAACTCTCTGGTGTCAAGGAGATGATAGAAGAAGTGGTCGGAGGTAGTTGGTAGTCCATGATGGCTACAGTGGCAGAGATCGAGAGATATCGCGGGCGGGGGGAGGGGGGGGCAGAGATCGACAGAGATTGAGTTTAATAAAGACAAAGAAGCCAAAGAACATCAATCCGTTAAAAAGCAATAAAGACAAGAACACATAGGAATGAAACACTCAATAACATCTAGTTTAATAATACACAACATTAAACAAAATTCAGTGGGAAAGGGGTTTTCAATATTTTGAAAATCTGGAGGAGAAGAAAGGTCATAAACTATTATGTTTCTTTACTGCTATTGTAAGTCTAGAGAGTACATTTAAGCTCACCAATAGAATAATAATAATTAATTATGTATTCTCCAATGTAAAATATATTTTTGTGGTGAATTAAAAGTTTTTTACTTATATTAATACTAGATGTACACGTGCGTTGCACGTGAATCGATTTGAGTTAAAATTTTCATTTTGATTTTTGATTTTATGTGATAGATTTGAAAGTTATGACTCATGATATTGTGGTTTTTGTTACTTGATGATGATTGGTATTGTTTAAGATTTGTAAAATGTCGGTTGGCATAATAAACGTATCAAACAACATGTTAAACACAATAAATAAACATAAAATTCAATTCAAACCAGTCAGAAAAAGATAGATACATTTGTATACAGAGAACATCCTGACAATATTGTGGTCATAGAAACAAAAACCACGTGACTAATCTTGGAAATTGATTAAAACAACAATTAGTTCAGATCCTGTACATGTACTATATCAATGAGTCTAATTTTAAAATTCTCTTTGCATTTGCTCTAAAGCATTTGCAATTGCATGCATCATGGCCTTCAACATCCATCCCATTAGGGCCTCCTCTCCTCAACTCCAACCTATTTCAAGTATCAGCATATGAAACAAATTCTTAAAGAATGTATCAACAACAAAAAACTGGGCATACCAACAATACACCTGTAAATAAAGGAATACATTTGCGTGCACAAGTATATATATATTTGTTGAAACTACCAATAGTTAATATCTTCAAATTTCAAAAAAAAATAAAATAAAAGAAAATAAAAGCCTAACTATTAATAGTGAAATTCCAAAAATCACTGGTTACGTGCAATAGGGAAAAATACACTAAACTTATACTTTAAGCGTTGGTATAATTAACATCAAATTTTTCTGCTGTGAGACCAAAGCAATTTTCTTTTAAATCTATAAAAGGACTGTAGAATAGCCATGTCTCATCTAATATCTACGGAAGACACCATCAACCTCTCATTTAAAATTTAACTATTGTTGTCTCCCTTCCAACCAATTAGCTTCCCCAGCTTCAATTCAATTGACAACAATTTCTAATCGTCAAAGTCAATGACAGAATTGGAAAGCCTCGAATCAGATTCCAGTTCGGCGATGAAAAAATCCAAAGTAATCATACAAGTTGGAAAGGGTAAGAGCATCAACAGTAAATCTATGATGTTGTTATATAACAAAAGAAACCCGAACAGATATATAGAATGAAAAAGAACTCTAAAATTTCAAAATTCCATAACATATACTGCTAATTCCATTTAACTCAACTATTAGTCTATAACTATTATATTACTCATTTTTTGATCGAGAAAAAATAAACAAGATAAATTGTATCACAACCTACCTTTGGGGTATCGATCGACTATCGAGAAGGTTCAATTCCTTTCACACAAACAAACATGTTGAAGTATTAATACATAATACAATGACCACACAAGAGTTAAGACCATGTAAATACCTAAAGCTGAACTTGTAATTCCAACCTGAAGTTAACACCAGCTTGAATTTAAAATTTGACATACAAGTGGAAAGAGCGTAAATTAGCTTACAAAATTTCATTTGGCTGAAACATGTTCTAGAATACAAAAAGAAATTCTAACTTTTTGGGAAAATGCTACAAAAAGCTGACCACCCCATAATATCTAGTAACTCTAATTGCAAATATACCTTTACTTCTTAAACTTGCCATAACTGATTTTTCATCATCAAATCCTTGAGCTTAGTAAAGTTAACTTAAGTGAGCTCATAGCATACTGAGAATTGCAACAATTGAAAGCAAGAAATTGTTGATCTTAATTGGTTTAGTGGATCTTGATGTCCCGCATTTGCTCATCTTTCTGTAAAAGCTGGAGAGAGAGGGAGAGTCACATTTGCTTGTAAACTTCTAACCTTTTATTTTTTCCCAAAGAGATGTTCAATGTCCGAAAGCTCAAGAACTAATGAGTAGTTTTCATCAATTTCTGCAAATTCAGGAATTAACTGATGTTGCATAACTCAACATATTATTAACATAATAAATTATTTAATCAATAATAGACAAGTTAAAATAGTTCATATACTAAACATCAAATTTAGAAAGAATCTACCTGGTCACATACCTAAATGCAAGTTCACTCACACAGGGCACAAACACGATTCTTCAAATTTTTTTAATCGAGTAAATAATTTCATTGATGGACAATTGTAGATATTTCAGGATGTACAATGGTCCAAAGAAAAATTCAAATACATTCATGAATTCCCAAGAATGACCTAAAAGAAAAAAGATCATTATTCTTTTTCATAGTTAAGTTAAATAGAGATCAATAGGTTCACATCTTACTACCAACAAAGTAGAAAAGGGCATATAATGTCAAAAATAATTCCCAAAAAAGAGAAATTTTCATAATATTATCAATCAAAAGAGACAGAATCAAACTATGAAATATTTATAGAACAAGGAAATTATATAATTCAAACAACACCTAAACATGACAGCCACGCAAACAATGGCAAAGATTAGGTACATGCAGTCTACCTCTCCCATCACTGTTGCTTTATTATAACTTCATGTTGTGTTAGTGTGCATTGAAAAACATTCTGTAACCATCAGATATGGTTTAATCAGCTATAACCACAGTAATAGATGAATCAACTAATACCAGTGAACTTGCATGCTGCAATATGAGTTTATAATGCCTTTATATTTTATGACCAATGCTATAGGGACCTAATTTGACGACTTAAAGATGTGGCTTCACTACCGATCCAATTGTTGTATTGAATTAGGTCTCCAAATTGCATTTTCATATTTTATTGACTTAAAGTATGGATAAATCGAGGCGTCACTTACAAAGACATACAATAGCTGAGCTAGAATAACCCTCAGACCTTAGACCCTTGGCTGATTGAAGCACTCAGAGCAATTGAAAAGTTTGCCAAAGCAAATGCCTACCTTGAATTTTTTACCACTGTTCAAAAATAAAAAAAAGTAAAGAACCAGAACTTCAATTGAATAAATTAGTTATTTTTATTCACACTCAATATAACTGTGCTTGGCATAATTATTCTATTGATTATGGTTGAATGAAAATACAAGTGCAAGAATAATGATTAAATTAATATCTTCTCTGTCATTGTACTCATGAAAATCAATCATACACTGGAAGCCCATGTTCAAAAATCACATAACTCATGCTTCCAACAACCACTCTTTATA